AATCACGGCATCTAAGGCTGTGTGATTTTTGATGTGTTCATATGTCAAAGGTGAGAACTGTCGATTAAAATAAATGTGAATTATAGAACATGAACACGTGTGAAACCCCAATGTCAATATTGCATCATGATCAATTGTGATATTTTCAGATTTGTAACTCCCAATTAATTATTTGGGAGTTACATAAAATGACAAATTATTTAAATATCCTTGTATTTAATATATGAGTTACATTTGAACCAAAGGAAAAGATGGAATATAATTGGTTGAACTTGATTAACATAGTTAACACAAAAAAATTGGTTAGTATTTGAACCAAACTCTCTCTCTCTCTCTCTCTCTCTCTATATATATATATATATATGGGTTATTCAAGAGAGAACTGATTAGTTTGTGGTAACTGTGAGATCCAATCTCAACCACAAATCAATGGATAAATTAGAAAATTAATAATTATGGTAGTTTGAGTTAAAATTATAATTAGAGGGCATTTTAGGTATTTTTAAAAAACTCCTCTCTCATCTCTCCGGCCTCCGGTGAACAAAAATCCGGTAGTTACCAAGTAATCACAAAGATACACAATGTGATATCAATTACTGTAATACTCATTGTGATATACTGTGATACCATTTGAGTACCACTGTATATCACAATGGGTATCACATTGTGTATCTTTGTGATTACTTGGTACTTGCCAAATTTTTGTTCACCGAAGGCCAGAGATTGGAGGTCGGAAAGATGAGAGATGAGAGAGGAGAGAGAAGAGAGGAAAGAGGAGTTTTTTAAAAATACCTAAAATGTCCTTTAATTATAATTTTAACTCAAACTACCATAATTATTAATTTCTTAATTTATCCGTTAATTTGTGGTTGAGATTGGATCCCACAGTTACCACAAACTAATCAGTTCTCATTTGATTAAGCCCCTATATATATATAAGGTTCTGGTGAGAAAGAGAGTTAAGGTAGCTATAAAAATGAATATTCACCTTTGGATGCAAATTAAGATGAGATGCACTAGACCAATTCACGTATCAAACGTGATTCATGAGTGAGTTCGAGATTAAAGGTGATCAAAAATACAGATCTCTTCTTATACTTCTCATCTTAACTTTTATTCTCACACGATACTTCATAATAATATAATATTGTATGGTTTAATTGAAGACTAAATATACCATCGAGATCCACAAGACGAAGGTTCCATGGATTTTTAGGGCAACTCTAATAGATCCAAAGCCACCCTTTCTAGATTCATGAATCCAACAATTATTAATTAAATCAAATATGTATACTTTTGGAATCATGTACACATATTCCTTAATTAAGACTTGTAACATACATTTTCAGCCATTCGATCGTTTTTTTATATCGTCGACCTTCACATAAAAGCACCAAATCCTTATAGAGAAAAACACCAAACATCACACATAAAACATGCATCAATTTTTTACATAAAAAAATACAGTAAACTTTTACAGTATGTCTTACGGTCTTATAAAAATGACGGTTTCACAAGAACTCAATCCTATGTAAAAATTTAATCTAGTTTTGAATAAAAAAAAGTCTTATAACTTTAATAAATGCATTTTTAATTACTAAACGGGTACTCACGAAATGTAGCGAGATATATTTCGATTTTAATGTTTCGTTTTATTCCGTCTCTGTAGATGTTTTAATATGGTCTTTATGTGGTTCTTAGAAAAAGATAATGTTTTTATTTTTAAATAAAATATAAATTTGAAGATATCATAAAATTTCGAAAATAAATATATCAGTATTAATATCAAATTAACTATTTAAAAATTCTTGTTTTTTGTGTAACTTCCTTAATTCAATTTTTTTTATTATAATTTAATTTAGATTTAATAATGAAATAATTTATTTTTGATTTAATAATATATTTTTATATAAAAAAAATAATAATTAAGTATTCTGTTAAAACTCAAATAATTATCTTAATTATAGTTTAGATTTTTTATATTTAAAATGAAATGTTTATTATGTATTTAATTATGTTTATCTGCAGTTAGTTACACGAATTCAAATATGGAGATTTAATAAGTTGTAGTCATGCACAATTTACTTCTAGTCTTAAACTTTAAGTAATATAAATCAATAAACAGTACTTCATACATAAAAAATGATTTTTAATTTTTCTATTAAATGCTTTATAATATAGTAATGATAAGATTAAATAGATGATTTTAAGAAAGTTCCATGAAGGTTCCAATTTGTCGAAACCTAACTTTTTTGCTGACTTCTAAAGCGGTGGGCACCTCAAACTCAAATCCATCACATACCACAATTTTATATTACGGGTCATGGTTTTGTGCATTGTTCAAATCTGCGTGATCATTAATATCTATCGATCAAATATTGGTGAACTCTTTTGTCGTATAGTCAGTTGATAAAAGGGTGAAATGACTTTACTTAAATATAAGATAGGATTCGAGAATCCCAGACCCTTGCTAGCTTTAGCAGTTGAGTTAGCCAAAAAATGCCTCCAACCCTTAAAGGCGGGTTCCATGTGGGACCGATTGAGATTGCTGATTTTAACCAAATATTGTTTAAGATAAATATATAAATCAAATCATATTTCGAAAAACAACAATAAAATTGTATAATTTATGCTACAAAAATGTTTAACCAAAAGCTTTTTTCTACCGTGATGAAAATTTTCAAATTGAAAGAAGAAAAATCGAATTACAACTCAAATAAGCAATGTCGAACATGTATTTGATTTACCGTTTTGGTCAATAACGTACACTACTTTTTTCACAATTATTTTTACTGTAATTTAGATAAATATATAGAATAACTTGATTTCCAAAAGCAGATGTTTTAAGGATTTATCTTTAAGAGGTAAATGTCAGATTTGCATACATCTCATGCATGGTATACTGGGTTTGTTTAGGTTGGTAAAACCCGTTACTGAAAACAAGACCAGAACAAGAAACACTTGAAAACCAGTTAGAATCAAAGGAACCTCATGGAATTAACCAAAAACAAGTTGCCAAATAAAGGATTGGATTGGATCCAAAGCTTCAAATTAATAGAAGCTGTCTGTCATCTCATAACTAGTACATAATAGCGAAAAAGAACGAAACAAAAATATCCGACAGAGAGCTTCTCATGGATGCATACGTTACGGATCTCTGATTAGTTGGTTGGAAGAGAACGAGCCACTCGAGGCCTCACCGGTGTCTTGGAAGGACTCACCCTACAAGAATTACAAACCATATTTGTTAAACCCTTGCTGCTGCTGCTGCTGCTTATCAAGATTTAAGCTCAAAATACATAATACACATACATACCTGATTGGTTGGCTTCCCAGTGTCTGTCCACAGCAATCCAATGCCATAATTGCACTCTCTGCCTGCATATCATCCAAAATATTACAAAAATAAGAAGCTATAACAAGGGAAAAATCCAGTGTTTCTCTCCTACGTTGATCCTTATGTTGTTTCTTTCCAAAAAAAAAATACTCCCTTCCCTATGTCGTTAGGAGGAGGAGGAGGACGATGATACTCCCTTCTTCTGAAAATGGTGTTATCCTACTTGTAGTTTACGTTGATGATATTGTGATTACCATAAGCGATAACAGAGACATATAAGAACTTTAGACATTTGTTCAATCTCACTTCCATACAAAGGATTTGAGACCACTTAATATTTCCTTGGAGTAGATATCACAGGGAACAAAAGGGGGATCTTCTTTATCTAAAAATAAATATGTTCTCAATCTTCTTAAAGGAACTGCAATTAGGAGTAAATCCATGTAGCACTTCAATAACTCCTGATATACACCCAAGAAAAGAATGATGGGAGAACCATTTTATGACCTTGAGAGGTACCGATGACTTGTTGAAAAGTTAAATTACCTTATGGTAATACTAGCTGACATTGCACTTGCAGCAAGTGCCGTTAGTCACTTATGTTTGATTCAACAATTAACCATAGGGTCTTGTGGGAAACCTCTTCCTCAAAAAGACAATTCGTACAAGAACAAAAGGAAATTCAGTTACTAACATCCGAAGCAATTTATCACTTTAGATCACTGTGGTAACCTAGTAGACTCCTCAAAGGAGGCTTGGTGAGCCATTCATTCTCCGCTAATTGTGCTCAATTCAAGCTCAAGGTTGAGGGAGCTTGGGCCTATATTGGACCACGAGGGGATCTACGTTTGGGACAAGACATGGATAGCCTTCAAAAGAATGAACAAAACCCATTTGGTAGAAAGAGTAACCAAACAATGTGGGTCAAATCTCTTAATCGGAGGAAGCCTCAACACAAGGAGTAGAGCTTTCACAGGATTCTGAGATACAAGTGATTTGAGGAACCTCGATGTCACCTTTCTTAAGTAGAGGCTATGGTGAATGTGATACCGGTTCGGATAATTAAATTGGTATTTTGTACTTCACACAATGTCCCCTACAGCTGCAAGGTATAGGTGACAATGTAGATAATGCATCCTGGAAATCGCAATGATCTAAAGGACCTCTTTTGGTGACATGTTAAAAGGCATGCCCTCCTCTTAAAGGTCCACTTGAGTGGCTGAGTCTTATGTAGATTAACTTGGGAACTTGGGTGGTATTTACATGACAAGCAAAACTAATTAAGTCGATGTTGGCATCTCTGGGGAACGTAAAGTTGTTTGAAGAAACATCAAGTTACAATGTGAAGAAATCTTCCCAACTTCAACTCTACAAACCACCAAACAATCAACAGCAATAGGTTGCGGGCTTGTCAAGATAGAGCGAATAATAAAGTCGTTTGAATGAGGGTACTAAAGAATTGGTTAAAGCCTTTGCTTGGATAGGTTTTACCAAAATAAAGGAGTTGGCACAAAATTAGCCAAGGATGAAGACATGGTCGACTTTCTAACTCCCCCCAACCCTATCCTAGGGCAGTGATAGCTAATGGTCAACTCTTTAACCCTCCCCCAAGCCACCCTCTACCCCAATTACCAACAAGTGGAAACAATCATCATATTCAATTGCGTAACTCTTCGCCAAAAACATAATAAACAAGGGTTTAGTTGCATATCAAAGTAACGACCAAGTTCAAACATATAAACATAATAGAGCAGATTACATGCTCGGTCTTGTGCTTTGTGGTTTTTACGAATTACGTCCCAAAATCAAAATAAGTACTGATTTGGGACATGTGGTTTGTATTTTTGCACTCCCTGAGTCCCTCCGTTAACTCAATTTTCCTCTTGTAATCCATTTGTACCCTAGTGGTTTGCATCTTGCTGATCACTAAGGGGTTGTTAGTTTGTGGCTTAATGGGCTTAATGGTATGGATGTCTTATTCGCTCTGCATATCAAAGTGTTTGTTTACAGCTTTTACCTCCTGGCTTATCTGCTCAACCACTTTACCCTATTGTTTTTTTCCAGCCATACCCTTCCTCTCAGGAACTCCCACCCTGCTCTCAACACCTCAACTACACTCTTTCCTCTCAAGATTCCCGCCCTCATATTTGAATAGCAGCAAATCTCATACACCCGTAGCTGGTATGCTCTTCCTCAACATTTTACACAATTTTTTCCTAAGATTTTCGAGAGAGGGTAGAATTTCCAATGGTGACATCAAAACTAAAGGCTCTTTGGAACACCCTGTTTGTCCCAAACTAGTGAGTTATTCCGTTTAAAGCTTTTTCGGATGTTTTTAATCATTATAATCGTGTGAAATTAGGTTTTCTTGCTTGTGCTTGCTTAGTAATTTTTGGGGGGTTTGTTCTGCTTTGTGGATATATGAAAGGAAGTGCTAATTCAACATCGTAGCCAATCAACATACAAGATCTAAGGGTGATATCTATCATAATCGATTCAGCTCAAATAAATCTTGAGAACATTGTGTGTTTTTTTGGGATACAGAGCGGATTATTGTAATATACTGCTTAATTTGTGTGTTGTTACCAAACACTACTGTCCAGTAACAATTTATTTGTTCTGTTGCACTCTTTTGCTAAATTTATATGGGCTGTGTTATAGATTTAAATAGCGATGCTTCTTATGCACATTGCTCTTTTCAAGGTTTAATTTAGTTTCCAAAAATTCCTCAAATTCTTTATGTTTTTTCACCACAATTCTCTCTTTTCTTGTTTTTGCGTATAGTTGTTTCTATTTGTGTGAACCACAGCTATGGTAAAAACACGGTTGTTTTTATTTTCCTTCTTTTGTTTTATTGTTTTTCTTTTTGCAGGACTTATGGAAGCAGACCTTCTTTGTTGGGACAGGCGTATGCCACTAACATGTACATAAAATGCTCTAATTGTTGAGATAACACCATGGGTTTCCAATGATGTGCCACAACTTGACTTTCCATGTCAAGAATAGTACTTCTCAATTTTCCTATCTACCCAGGGTTCTATTTCAGGCATACACAACAATTGTGGCCACTGAGCTTACCAGAGTTGATTTCTTGCAGCCACAATTTTCCGGGATTAGTGCGACACCCTTCCAAAAAGCAAGTATCAATCATGGACTTGGCTATACCAAACAAATTACAATAGCCACATGTAATTGTGAACTTACCTTACATGTCAACAACGTGTTTACCAATTCGAGTTCTCATGCACTTATCAACCATAGTAATAGCAAGCACACACATGTACCGGTGAATTCATGACATTGACTAGATTTTAATCGTGGACTTACAATACATGATACAGTGCAAGCCATGCTCACGAATATGTTGTGGACACATCAGTCAAAAAGGTAGTTTTCACTTGAATTACTAGTAAACATGCTCAAACTACTTTACTGGTGAAGGCAATATGACCATTGCATACATTGTTTAGGCAATACTTTCCTTGCGTGGATTTTGAAATTAATTGGAGTTTTTAGCAATTAGCAAAGTCCTCCTTGCCAAATTTCCAAGTATTTTTGTCTATGTAACATCACTACGTCAATATGAAACCGTTAGATGGTCTTCATTGTTTTTTATGAGACACCCCACATTTCCAAGCACACTTTTGAGTGCTCAAATTTATCAGACTCAAACATCATGCTTGAGGAGTAACCAACCTGGCATCAAATTAACAACAAATAGCACATTGTTCAATGTGAAGCTCTTTCAGATTGTCATCTTCCAGACAACTTTTCCACTCCCTAATACCTCATCCGTCGAGGAGTTTCCCATGGATTAACAATTAAAGGGGCCAAGGAGCTTTTTTTTAAGATATAACAACCTAACATACATAAAGTTTTATTTATTCCAAAGAACTCAAGGTCACCTAGAATCAAAATCAAACATAGTTGTTCACAACTCAACTCTCACTGTCAGATACCTTGATCACATCTAGAAACTCAGTTGCGAGCCTCATCTTGGATGTATCTCTCGCCCAAGATACCAAGTATTCGTAATTAAGATGGTTGAAGATGGATATCATGTGATGCTCATTCTTGAGTTGCGATTTTGGGATCACTTGGTATCTTGGGCGAGGGATACATCAAAGATGAGACATATAGATTGAGGCTCGCAAATGAGTTTCAGGAGGCGTGATTGAGGTGTCAAAAAGTGAGAGTTATGTGAGCCAAAACTCTGTTTGATTTTGATTCTAGATAAAAGCACAAGCCAARGGGTGGATATAAGACCAAGGATGAAGTCCACCATAACTTTGAGCATAGGGAGGAAAGGGAACCCGGACGGTGGAAGAACCAAGGTACCTTGGTTTTTTTGGAATAAATATAACTTTGTTTCATTTACTTTAGGTTGTTATTTGAAATTGGGTTGTTTGGAATTTTGGGGTTTACCAAAACTAAAATGAGTATGATTTCAAAAAAAATTGTGGTTGGCAAAAAAAAAAATTATTCCCGCCACAGACAAGAGTATACTTGAAGCGAAATTCAATTAATTTAAGGAAATAAAAACCAAGGGTGCTATACAATTTTGGATATCTTTTCTATACTATGTTTTTCTATTTCTTTCTTTTCTTGCTCTATTCGTATCTATTTATCATTGCCGATACATGTCTCATAAATCTTTATTGAATGCAACTGAAATGGGTGAATGAGATCTTATAACATTCCGCGACATGTTAAGTCGTATGTGTCAGATCAAAATGACAAGTTCATATAATTTTGTTCGATACAAGTGACTGGTAGATCACCCATCTACTAGAATGCTGAAGTGATTACTTGCATTGCATGATTCACAAAGTAACATCATCCACCATTTGACCACTTTATTTCTTTGTCTTTGGATCCTTGGTTTGGGATTTCGGTTAATTTAATTGTTTTGTTGTGTGTAATCCCAACAACTACTCCTACCCTGAAGTGCAAAGATACCCATACCAGGAGGGATCCTCTCCCCCCCAAGGTCTGTTGTTTTCTGGGGCACTTGAGGAACAAGAATCAGCATCGTCAATAATCAACTTATCATACACACACCACCAATCTGAATTGAGGCATTTCTAAAGTAACAAAGATGGTCATAAATAGGGCATCCATAAAGATAAAATAACAACTAACATGGAAATATTGCTAAAAAATTAAGACAAGTCATGACCAGAAAATTAGAACTTACCATCACAAATTCAACGAACGCAATACGCGTTGAATGAACATGATCTCCCAAAAGCCTGATGCGAGAAACCTTCACAAAAGTTCAACATATTTTAGAATTTTCCACTATGACACAACTGATATACGAAAATGGTACATCGTTCTAACCTCGCCACATCTTGCTTCAAAGAAATTCTTCACCTCAGCTTGAGAAACCTGAAGTACAACAATTCTTGTGATCTTTTTGCAATAAAGAACCTCAATCCCAAAGGGAAATATTCATATAATTGAAGGTAGCATCATGCAGAAGGCCATAATAGATCAAGTAACCCATTTTAACACTGGGTGGGAAAAATAAAAAATAAAAAAGCTTCAGACCTTTTTGTCTATATTTGTACAGTAGACTGTCCTTGCGCACATCTCCTTCTCATCCTCTGACTATATTCAAAAACATCAAGAAGGTAGACAAATAATTATACGTAAGTAGTGGCATCTTTGTAGACCTAAAACTAGATATCATTTGAGTGATTCATACCCGGGGAAGGAAAGTTGGATTCACAGGAAGAATGGCAGTTTTTGAAGGCAAGACCCTAACTTGAGAGAAGCCCAGCATTATGCCACAAAGGTTAAGAGCTGCTCTTGCAGAATCTGCCAACATCAATGAAAGCATGTAAGCTTTGCTGAATAAGAACTACAAAATTTAAGGTTAAAATTCCAACTTACTCTCATCAGCAAACTCTACAAATGCAAAACGGAGACGTGAATGTGGATCGCCACAAACTCGACAGTCCAAAACCTTCATAATAACATGCCACACTCATTAAGGGTTGGGTAGTATATGGTAATTTGGTAAACTATATAATACAATCAATAGTTATAAGGGGAAAATGACTGCAAACAGCATACAAAATAAGAATGCAAATAATTGTTCAATCTAAAGCTATCATAGTTTTAATAACCAAGGACTTACTTGCCCATAGGCGCTAAACAGAGCGGCAAGTCGCTCTTCGGTGACCTATAAGAAGGAAAATTTACATTAATAACATCCATCCATTATGGAAAAAGTGCGTTTGGTTGACTACAAGAAATAAATGATAATGAGCTTTCTTACTCACATTATGATCAATGTCAGAAACATACACAGTTCTCCTAATGCTATCTTCTCTCTGAGCTCTGAAAGCTCTCCCATTCAACCTTCTTCTGCCCTGGCTATACGTATTTCTCCTCTGCCGTAACAAAAAGAATAAAACTTTAGAAAATAGAACTAGTAAGTTTCATGTTGTGTGAAGAACCAGGTAGTACTAAATCCAATGGGCAACAAGTCAGAAAACTCAGATCTGTGTGCGATTTGGTGAAACATATATGAACTCTGATCGAAAAAATAGTTGCAAATGGGATCACATAAATCAATAAACTCATGCATAGGAGGCCTGTTTAACTTCAAATTAAGAGGCAGAGATTAAGGAGCCATGTTCTTTTTTAAGGTTTACATATAAACCCAAGTGGCTGTTTACAATACTCAACTTGAAATGTACAGAAAATTCCCAAAAATCTTGAGAATTCAAGGCAGCAAATTAAATCCCACAAATCAACATCCCAAAAATTCCCTTTAATATTGAAACAAGTTTGTCGAATTGGTGAGAAAAGAATTCATCAGCTCATAGCAAAACCCTCATGAAGATCTAATTACAAAAAATGAAAAGGATACTTATCAATGAAAGAAAGATAAAACTAACCACTAAACAACACAATCCAGTGAAAATATAACATTAAAATAGCATACCCTGCGGTTATTAGGGTACCCTTCAATCCCATCCCCTGTAGAATTCGTATAATAAGCAGGGGTAAAGAAATTGAGGTTTAGCTCAGGCTGATCATCGTTGCGATAAATTGGGGAGTATGAAGAAGGAAAGAATTCCTTAGCCATGGGATTCAACTTCAAAGTCGACAACATATCAACAATATCTTGCATTTTCATTTCTGATTTTGGATCAGAATCAGACCCCTTTTTGGACTCGACATCATTCACAACATCATCATCATCATCATCATCGGGATTAGCAACATTGATATTCTCACTCTCGTTGATCTTAACCTCAGTAACATCGGTTTTGGGTGAAGATTGACGAACAACAGCAGGAGGAGGAGGAGGAGGAGCAGCCACAGTTGTTGATTCTTCACCAGAAATTTCAGGACCAGCAGCCATGGAACCCAAAACCCGACCTCCGACAAAAACCCAGAAAAGAAAAAAAGATTGAATTTAATAAAGAAAATGAAACAATGAAATCAAAAACCCTCACCACTCAGAAACCCAGAAGGGAAAAAAGGGTGAATATCTATCAAGAAAGGAAAAAAAAGGATTAAATCTTTTTATCAAGAAAGGAAAACAAAATGAAATATTTTATGAAGAAAATGAATTGCTGATAAACGAAGCAAACCCAATTCCTCTTTTTACTCTAAACAAAAAAGGAGATGAAGAAAAGAAAGAGGGGTTTTCTCCAGATATGGTGATCTCTTGCAATTTGATAGTCTCAAAAAGGGGATTCTCTCTTTATGCCGACATGGAGAGAGCCCAAAGAGAGAGACCCATTAACAGAAACAAAAATGGAAATCGAAATGCAGAAAAAAAGGGTTTTTGATCACAAGATGATGATGGGTTTGCCTTAAAGAAAAGCAGGTGAGGTGGCTTGAAATTGGGTTTATTATGATGAACAGAAAGAGTGAATATGTATGAAAAAGATGAGCGGAGAAAGAGAGAGGATGGTGCATTAAAGTGAGGGACGTTAGGATTGGGAAGCCGACTTAAACCTCTTTTATTACTTTGTGTAAAACTATGACTATAACTGCTCTTCTTTCCCTTTTTCATCTCTATTAATTATTTCATTTCCAAAATTAAATGTATTTAATTCACATATTTAATTAATTTTCAAATTAATATCTATAAACTTTCGGTCATTGTTATTTAACTAGAAGGGTACTCATGCAATGCAACAAGATATATCATGATTTGAATGTTACGTTTTATTTTGTCTTTGTGGATGTTTTAATATGTTTTTTTATGTGGTTTTGAGAAATATATAATGATTTTATTTTTTAATAAAATATAAATTTGAATATATCATAAAATTTCGAAAATAAATATATAAAGATTAGTATCAAATTAACTATTTAAAAGTTTTTGTTTTTGTGTAATTTTTTTTATTATAATTTAATTTAGATTTAATAATGAAATAATTTATTTTTTATTTAATTTTCTTATAAGGATAATAACTAAGTAATCTGTTAAACTCAATAATTATCTTAATTATATTTTAGATTTTTATATTTAAAATGAGATGTTTATCCAATATTTGATTATGTTTATCTACAGTTAGTTACACGAATTCAAATATGGAGCTTTAATAAGTTGTACTTATACACAATTTACTTTTAATATTAAATTTTAAGTAATATGCATCAATAAACAATACTTTATGCATAAAAATGGTTTTTCTAATATAGTATAGATAATGAAATGTAATACTTTGTGATTTTAAGATTGTCGTCATGGTTGTAAATTGGTTGTTGGATTTAACAGGCTAAAGGCATTTGAATAGTTCAATTTGACGGTTTAAAAAAAATTTAAACTAACCTAACCAATGTTTGTAGTTTGAAAAATATCGAACCAGCCCAAACAAAACTACAAGTCAACTCAACTCAACCCAAACAGTACGGGTAGGTGGGTTGGTCGGGTTGAAACTTTGATATATCATTTTACGATCTAGTTAAGTATTTATGTTTAAACGACGTAAAATCAAAACGATAACATATAAAAATGGCTAACAAACTCAAAAAAAAAAGTTGAAGGTTCATGCAAATTGTAATATTTTGAATATTAATTTTAAATATGTTAATATTAATTATATTATTAAAATATTAAATGATATGAAAATTTTCTTTTTTTTATTCATTTAATTTTATTGGTAATTTGGGAGTTCTTTTTTTAGGAAAAAAACAAAAAAAAATCATTTTCTCTCTTCTTTTATTTGATTTTGAAAGATTCTTCAAATTTGTAGTATTTATTTTCTCATACTTTCTCCGTATCATATATGGTGAAGTTTGATTTGTAGGAATAAAATGGATTTGATGGGATTTGGATTTCAAATCCATTTTAATACCATGTTTGGTTTGTTGGATTGTCTAGATATTAAATCTTAAGATTTAATTGAAATATTACAAATATAAAAATTTTAAAATCCTTAGGAGTGCTTGGGATTTCATGGGATTTCGTAGAATTGTATGCAACAAGGTTTTAGAAAATGTTGACACATTTTTTTAGGTAATAACTGATTAATAAAAATGTAATTTAATTATTTCTAGAGTAAATTATAAATTTACACAAAATCACATTGTGCATCCCCAAATCAAAATAGTTATAAAAAACGTCCATGTAGTTTAAATTTACACACGCCTTTGGTCCCTAACCCTAATCCTAACCCCATTAAAAGATTTCTGTTAAGTAGGTTAGGTAGGAGGGCATTTTAATAAATCTTAGGGGCAGTTTAGTCATTACTCATTTTCTTATTTTTCTTTTAGAAAATAAAAACTAAAAGTAAAAGTTGTTACTCAAAGACTAACACCTATGTGTATATATAGGGCTGTAAGCGAACCGAACGAACACGTACGGAGGCTTGTTCATGTTCGTTCGTTTAACTTAACCGAACAAACGAACGAACATGAACGTTAAACGAACGAAAATAATTGTGTTCGTGTTCGTTCAGAAATCAGGTGTGTTCGTGTTCGTTTATGTTCGTTCATTAACATGCTAAACGAACGTAAACGAACGAACATAAACGAACGAGCTAAACGAACATAAACGAACGAGTTAAACGAACATAAATAAATATTATTTGAATTCAAAGTAAATAAATAAAAGATTATATATTAAATTTAATATATAAACGAACGTAAATGAACGGTAAATAAACGAACGTTCACGAACATAAATGAACGAACGAGGCTCTTGTTCATGTTCGTTCGTTTAACTAAACGAACAAAAAAATTTGTTCATGTTCATTCATTTATTAAATAAACGAACTTCCCGTCGAACGGTTCACGAACGGTTCACGAACGGTTCGCTGAACGTTCGTTTCGTTTACAGCCCTATGTATATATATATATATATATATGTATATATATATATACGTATACATATATATATATATACGTGTATATATATATATATGTATATATATATATATATACGTATACATATATATATACGTATACATATATATATATATATATGTATGTATATATACTTCAGTCCCATGAAGTTCGAATGAGAAACTTTGATGATAGTCCTATGGAAGAAGCTTTTCATTCACAAGTTCCTTCAGAATAAAAGGACTATGAAAGGAATTTTTATAGAGATCATGATAAAGATATATATGGTGATGGTCCTTCCAATGGGAAAAGACGTGCAAGACCTTTATCGGAAACACAATGCTTCTATTGTCACAAGTATGGGCATATAATTAAGTATTGCAAGAAAAGGAAACAAGATGAAAGTGAGAATACAATGTTCGTGAATGATGTTGAGTCCAAGGAGGTTGAAACAATGTTTATGACATTAGAGATTGATGAACTTTGTGATGGATGATGTATGGAACAATTTAACAGCAAATGAGGACATGTTTTGTGGTTGTGGACGATGCTTTCCGTAGCAAGTATGGAATCTATGATGATGTGAAGATTGGAAGCTTCAAGAATTGAGGTCTAAGCTATGTGTTGTTCATGTCTAGATATGCTCGTGTGTATATACATATACATGGACAAATTCATTTGAGAAGTCACAAGTATTTGAGAGGAAAAGAAGTTATTCTAGCCCGTCATCTGGTCAACATTTGCGGTTTTGACTGTGAAGCACCGAATAATACATCACATGGGTATGCGGAAGATAGATAGTTAGTTTTGTAACTTTTACAAATAGACGGCAACGCATTCACATATGAACTATATGTTCATATGTGAACCCATTAATTAGTTCACATGTGAACTCCTTAAATGATTCACATATGCGAATAAGTTAATTAGTTTATATATTAATTAGTTAAAATAGTTCATATTTGACTTACACGAGTTCATATATGAACATATGGTGCATATGTGAATCGCAGAGGTTCATATATGAACCTGTTTGCCGCCTATTCGTAAAGTTACGAAATTACTCCCTCTATTTTTCACATAGAAGCAAATTTTGACCAGTCAAAACCAATCTTGACCTTATGAAGGGCTAAGATCACTTTTTTAATTTTCAAAATAACCTATGGCTATATATATATATATATATGTGTGTGTGTGTGACTTTGTATAGGATTGAGTTCCAGTGAGAAGGAGAGTTGAGATGAGAAGTGTAAGAAAAGATCTCCACCATTAAATGCACATTAGGATGAAATGCACCAAGATGAGATGTACCAGATCAGTCCATTTATTAAGTACAGTTCATGAGTGAGTTTAAGATTAAAGGCGAGCAAATGTCCAAATTCCTTCTTACGCTCCTCACATGATCCTTCGCTGACTTGTATATATGCTATGTGTGTGCATACATATAAAAAAGACGAGAGAAGGTGGGGCCATGGTTAAATAGATTATATTCTTGGTCCCTCTAGTTTTAATAGAAAATAAAAAAAAAATCATGAAATGACTAAATTGCCCTCCTAATTAATCTATTTAACAAAATCATCTAAGGGTGTTAGGGCAAAAGGACCAAAAGGATGATTTTAGAGCATCTCCAGTAGTTTCTCTAAAAAAATTTCAAAATGTAGAACCAAAGTTCAAAATCTCTAAAAAAATTGCATTCAATTTAACACATTTTTCATTTTGGAGAATACATCATTAATTATATTATTATAATATTTCAAATATTTAATTAAATATTATTTTCCTTTTATAAACATTTCATTTCAAGATTACTTATTAGTCGAATATAATAAAAACAATTTATCTCTCACGGTAATCATTTTTGGAGAGATCTCCAAATTATTACACTCTCTCTTACTTTCTCCATTTTCAATTTTACTTATTAGTCGACTTGTATAGCGAGTTGGATATTCAGGTTAATAAAAAAAATTCTTGAAAATTCTTGAAAATTTTAAATTTTTAATATTTTATTTTAAAAATATTATAATATAGCAATTATAAACTTTATATTCGTAATCATTAATGATATATTTAAAAAGAATTCCCCTTCAAAATTTATGAACATAATAACGAATGTGGCGTAAAATGGTGGCAATAATAATAATAATACGTGATGATAAAAATGGTCCTTCCTATAATCCTACTAGAATCTTAATTTAAACGAAATCCCTATTTTATTTCTATTAATAATGTTTTAATTAATTAATTAATTGTATTAAGTAACCATATAGGATGATGCTCGATTAGTTTGAGCTTGGACTCCAAAGGTCAAAAATGTTTGGAGGTCCCAAGTTCGAATCTAAGGAGGAATAAAAATTCCCTTAAGGCCATGGAGATTCAAATGCAGTGACTCCGGGCTACCGCAAAACGGATGGTCGTCCTGCTATTAGTTGGCTTGCATAACGAATTGGATATCTAAATTAAAAAAAACTATATTAAGTTTGTGGATAGCTATATAAGTTTGATTATTATTTATGGTGTTGTTTTTTATGGGTTTGTATAAAATGTTAATTGTGTATATGCATATTTAAATAAATAACATGAA